TTGGTTCGGTAATTTCTCTCTAAGTATATTAGAAATTTCACTCTCGGTTGGTTGTACATTTTCAGATATTACTTAAAGTTTGATATATATTTTTCTCCGCAGGAGCACTAAGTACGGGCCTCGAGCACGACGTAATTTCATGAGTGTTTCGTAGAACGTGTGTTAAACGCGAGGCTTTTAAGCGTTGCACAATACGTACGAGCTTTGAAAACTAATTACCGTAGCACAAAGGTGCCGCGTTTCTATTCAATAATGCTCGTTATACGGTATGGATCCGAAAGTGAATTTCCACGGATGAAAATGGCGGGTTTAATGTCGGTTCATTTTCGCTGGATTTTTTTCTTTCGTCCGCGCGTTAATGGGTGTCGTTTCTGCCGCGAAAGGAGCCGCGAAGAAGCAGTGATCGACGTACGGCGATGGCTACTGTGTGGAAACAGATGTCACGCTAAATTCCAATTAATTCAAGGTTCTCGAAACCGTCGATTAGCGTCGTGAAAAAAAAAACTACGAATCCACGCTTAAGTTAATTTACTGTACGTAAAAGAATCAACTGCAGTGCTTGCAACACTTTCAGAATGTTGCTTCTTTTGACACTCACGCGCAGACAGGAATTAATATAGACTAAGAAAAAAATTTTAGAATTTAAAAAATTAATTAGTTTTCAAAATAATGACCTTTATAAAATATTTAAAAATCATCTAAATCGATGTAACTGCACATAAAAGAATCAACTACAGTATTTAAAATATTTTCAGAATGTTTTTTGTTTGACATACACGCTTAACCACAAAAGAATTTTTCTAGCGTCTCAAAAACTGTTATATAAATAACGTCCTTTACAAAATATTTAAAAACCGTCAAAATCGACGAAGAAGTCTTTCTAGATCTTCACTTATCAGAGTATACCAAATTCATAAAAATAAGCAAAAATAAAGTTGTTTCAACTAACGATACTTACCAAAATGACAGAACAGACCATCTAAATCGACGAAGAAGTCTTTCTAGATCTTCACTTATCAGAGTATACCAAATTCATAAAAATAAGCAAAAATAAAGTTTTCAATTAACGATACGTACCAAAATGACAGAACAGACCATCTAAATCGACGAAGAAGTCTTTCTAGATCTTCACTTACCAGAGTATCCATAAAAATAAGTAAAAATAAAGTTGTTTCAATTAACGATAGTACCAAAATTACAGAACAGTGTCCTACTTTGAAGTCTATTGGCAATTAATGGGAAATCACTTCGTAGTTTGATACAAACCCTGCTGAAAGCAGATCCTCCAGAATGTTCTCGCGAGCCCATCCACGGAATTGAATACTACTCGCGAAAATCTTCACCGTGCATGCACCAAACTCGTATTGATAAGGACAGAATCGATTGCAACATGTCATGTGCTGTGTGTCTGTGAATTCCTGTCTCTCGTTATTTGCCATCGTCGCCACTGCTGTTAACACCCGGATTTGTTGTGCATTACATTGTCAACGATCTGAGAATTTTGTCTCCGTGGAAACTTTTCCGCCTACACATGACCGATGGTTCGCGATAAAATTACACAGAATTTATCCGCGAATCGCGGAAATTGATTAAGATAACTTCGCTATATCTCGTAATCGTTCAAATTACTATAGTCGGGCGATTCTTAACCCTTTTTCCCCCCCACAAACCTGAAGTAAACAATTGAAAGGTCAGCTGTAACAAGGAGACACCACTTTTGGACAATTTAAACTTTGACACCGAGTTCGAAACCTGTACGATTTTTATTTTTCTAATAAATGTAAATTTGAAGAAATTTTGTCGTAATCGTAAGCGTGAAATTATTTTGTTGTTCATACCACGCGAAACAACACATTTTTGTTAATAACATAAAAGATGTGTAAAAAGTGGTGCTCCTTGTCAGAGCAAACACTTCGATCATCGAATTTCACACTTCTATTTTAAAAAGTACCACTCTGCTCTCAGTCCATTATGTAGATCAGTTTTGTTTGTAATAGAATGTTTGTGTATTATATCACCGCAGTGTCTTCCACGCCGTTTCAATCAGGTTTAAGTTTGGTGATCTGTGGAGGTGTATGTATAATTTTCTAGCAGTTATACAAACTCCAGTCTTGTACTATCCTTGATCTATGTTTAGGATCGTTATCTTGTGCAAGGATGAACCGTAAACATACGCGAAGTTTGTGTTTGTTCTTGCTCCATGTTACAACGTAGCAGTCGTCTGGTTTGATCAAACAAGCGGCATTGTAACGGAACGATTAAAATAAACACTCGTGTTTGACACTCGATATACAAATTATTAAAAAATGTTTAGAATACTCGTTTATTCGACACTTGAACGCTAACTCCAATCTTTCTTGTGTATTAAAGTTATTAGTTTAGTCGAACGCTTTAGCTCGAGCAAGAAATTTATGCTATCTAAAATTGACATAATTTTTTGAAGATAATCACGCTTGGGGCAGCTTCTTGCGATATTTTGGTTCGGTATCTTGACGACATAGCTAATTTTACGTGTCTCTGCTTTCAGCACGTGACAATAAACATGAAGCTGATGCTAAAGTGCGATCGTCACTCTTAATGACAGTAATTTGCACAGGCTGATAGATCTCAAATAATAATACTTCCCACATCGTATTTCACAGATGAGATTCGTGGTATAAATATTAAGAAATCCGTTTTATAAACAAGAATATCTTTACAAACAAAAATAATGTTCCTTAATCGCGTTCTGCCATTCTTCATCCTATTCTGATCCCGAAGAATCTAAATGAGATTTTGCCTTTCTAAAATAGAACTAAGTAAGTGTGCCAGAAATTATTTGCTCGTCATTCTTTCCGTGTTTCGTTTTTATACCGGAATCGTGATTCACTTTTCGCTACAACATTCTTCGTTTTCCTTTACTCGCCTGTTACTGTTTTTTATTTAATTCGAAGAAATAAAAATTATTACTAACCCTAGTAATTTCTATATATTTCTCCTTTCAAAATAATATTTGTCCTGTTTACCACGAATATTTAAATTTCGCGCGAAAATTGTGTATTATATTAAATATTAGATTTAACTTTATTAATCTCGTGACTAACTCTTTCATTAAAAATTTTTTTCGACTTATATATGCGTTTAAGTAAACCAATTATTATTTATTGCTGAAAATCGATGTTCGTTATTTTTTACGATTTAAAAGAGCTTCAACGCGATCGAGTTTGAACAATGGACACAGGTTGCACATTCGCGAGAAATTTGACAACGAATCGCGCTCGAAAAATGCTTCGTTGTGTCATTTTTATTATGGAAGAGCGCGAATGGGTTTCGTCTCGATTTGTTCGCACGTGCATTTCCTGATACGCCATATGGTCGCAGGTAAAACCACATGCCGATATATTCCCATGATCATCGAGCCGACAGGTAGAAACCCAAACATGTGCTACGACGCGAACTGAGCTTTAAAATCTCCTCAACTTTTGCAACAGTTATTATATTACAGACCGTGCGTTACGTTTAAATATTTAATTATTTCTGAACGACGAAGACGAATTACTCGAAACAATATGAGTTTTCAAATTAGAAATTACTTCAAATTAACAACCATTTAAGCAAAACGATACTCTCATAAATATATTTCTCACAACATTTACGATACACGTTATTAATATGGCCATAGTGTAAATATCAATTGAAAATTGAAATTGAAATTTATTTCAAATATTTTCTTACGGTTTCGATAAAATAACTGCACTTTCATGTTTTCGATATTGCTACCTGTTTTCAACTCAAATATTTATATTAATGCTACTTATCTTGCAACGACAGCGATAACAAGTACCACGCGTTTAATCAGAGGGCTATAAAAATTGAGACAAACGTAAAACGAGTATGCGACTTTTGCGTTACAATCGAGTTTAAAAAAAGAAAATCAAATTATGACATCAAGTAACATGACGATGGTAAATTCACTTTTGCATTCAAATATTTCCGCATTCTCCAGAAAATAGAAAAGAACAGAAAATATAATGAATCTGCGGAAAATATAAACAGTCTGAGATCGTAATTTTGTAATAATTCTCTCTTCTTTTCCCTTTTTCTCAGTCGTTCGACAGTTTAATCGCGACACGGAATTATGCAATACAGCATACTAATTAGGAAACAAAAGATTCGATGGTTTTCGAATTATTAATCTATCACGTAGTCAAATATTGTTCGATCAATACTTCTCAATTAATCAATCGATTAAAGGATGCGATAAAAGATTCAGTTGTTAGATTTAATAGCGATCAACGATTACTGAAAGTGATTGCTCACTATCATTAACAATTACAATAATGAATATTCGGTGGCGTCAAACTGATAAAAATGAAACTTCTTTACATATCTAAGAAATTAATTAAACGCATTTTTATCGAGACAAGAAACTGTTTCTCTATTATTTTTTTTTTAAACGAAAGGTTCAAAATTAAATCTATTTGTATGCACGATAAACAATGAATTCCGGTTATGAAATTTGTCTATATTGCCTAGTTTTAGTCTGATAAATTTTAATTCGTCTTTGATCGTACCGGAAACGCATACGACGCATAGGAAAACACGTGGTATCGATATTCTGATGTACAGGAAACGAATACGAGAACAGATGTTGAAACTCTAATTCCCCGACGTGTTTCCTCAAAACAGAAAAAACGATTTTAGAAACGTGATGTCCGCGTTAGACTCGACATTCATACGGATAAAATTATATAACTTAGACGGACGTGCAAATAGATCTCATGTTTATTCGAGCAGAGATTTCTATTTGGGTACACGTGGACTTTATGTTTGTGTACTTCGATGCCATGAGTGGCATTGTAAACGGAAGGCGGAACATAGTTTTAGAGAAAACTACAGATAATTTTTAATTAATTTTAAATTGTTTTTACCTCGATAAAAAATATGGAATTTTACAAGAAATTTTCACAAGCGATTCATACGGATTTGAAGAAAAGTGAATTTTATAATTAAGTACTCACCGAAAAATAGATGTAAATAACGCACTCCGGAGAGGATATATCTGAAACATAACATAAATAATCAATCAATAATAATGTCGATAATAGTAAGAATAAATTAAAACATTTTTGGTCTTATGAAATAGCGAAGTTTTGAAATAAGATTAATATTATTGATAAATTAATGATGCAAAAATAAAAATACATAATAATTCCTAGTACTTAGTTTATAAATGTTGAATAAAACAGTGACTGTGATGAACAAACACAAATGTCGTTTTGAAAAATTTATCAATGGATTCTAATTTACGAACGAATCTAAAATTTATATTCGTTAGTCGTAAATCAAATTTGTCCAGCTCTGCTTCATATGCAAGCCAGGAAATACAAAAATCTCGATATTTAAAAAACTATTATCTTTTGAATGATATAACAATAACCAGTTCTATTTGTTTCGAAAACGAAGTCGATTTGAAATTTCCTGAACAAAGTTGCATTTGATCTCGAAGTTATTCAATTATACAAATTTTATTAACAGTTAAAAGCTGCAGTTGGCGGGAAATAAAAATTTTATCGAGAACAATGATGCAATAATAGACCTTTTGAATAAATCTTAATTGTGCAAATTTAAAAAATTGTTTTTAACTACCACGATTAAACAATACTATAGAAAATACGATCATTGTAGAAATATTAAAAATTTTAAGTTACAAATTTTTTTTACGTAATTAGAACATTTAATTATTCAAGAATCTAATCACGACCATGACTGTGGACATTTGAAAGAAAAAGGAAACGATTAGAAAACTTCATTACTTATCGTATAATTGAAGTACACCGTTCCCCATAATTAAGCACATTTTCATGCACTGATCGAATTAAATTTCGACTAGATAAACCTTTATCTATGAGTCATGAATACGATAACGACGATCGTAAGTGCCTGACAAGTAATTCCATTTGTATTAACGATAAACGATTATCAATTTTAATTGTAATCGTCCATCATGACTTTGATTAATATTTGCCCAATGCTCGGATAACGGGCGCAACACTTGGCTCAACTTCGTGCTGGAAACATCAAACACTCGGCTTATGCACACATTACTGTTTGCAGTTCGTGAAACATATAATTTTGTCAAGTGTAACTAACCGCGAAGGATCGTTTTATTTGCTGAGAACTAGATACAGTTTTCTTTTTAAGTACACATTGTATAAATACTTTCAGAATGTTCGTTGCTTTTTCATTTGTACACAGACGCATTTTCTGTTATCATTGATGAATTTATTGGCGCATCGCAGGCGTTTTCATCGAAACATCCGACTGTACTTTCGGAAAAGTTTTTAATTATTCCTCTATACCTTTCCATTTTACTTTGTTTAAATCTATCCGTAAAATTCCCTCAATGGACAGAACTTCCCAAGAAGCCACTAAACAGCTTGATTGCTTTTTTTTTAAAACAGGAATTTTTAAGCTTAGTAAAACAATTACTCTTTGATTAACCTTGGAATACGATTTCAACTTAAAGAAATTTTAAAGGGCACCTTAGTTAGGAACAGTGTTAGGGACTCTCTGGACCTATGAAAATAATATCAATTTGAAATTTTAAGATACGTCTTTGATAGAAATAGCGTTAAGGGCTTGATGGGCCTCGTAAAAATTCGTGTTGGTCGCGAGTCGTGGAAAATGAGCTTCTGGTAGTCTCGATCGGGGCCGAAGTTCGGCAAGAAGAATCGTCGATTCATTACAAAGGAATCCCCAAACTACTTGGACGTCAACGCGCCCCATAAAAATGCGCATGGTGCTTTATATCGGGCGAAACGGTTCCCACGACACCCCGTGCGTCGTTTCTATGGGAAAGTTTTATTGGGGTGAAATTGTACGTGTCCGTACTCTTGCACGCTCACAGATGCATTGTCCCTCGTAGCTGTCGCGACGACACCCGTTTAACGACCCTTACACATCCACGTATACTCGCAACAAGTCCTCGACCGCCGCGCTGAATATTTAACACGATGTTAATTGTTAGACGCGAAACGATATCGGACTGTTCACCACAAGGCGCTTCGAAACTAATACAATTCTTCGTTCGTTAACGGTTCATCGACCAAGGTGGGTCGATTCTGACCCGGATTATTCATTTTGTCAGAGTGAAGTCGAAATCTTACAACAAAGTTACGAAAAGTAGAAACATTGGGTGTCGAACTTTTGCAGAACGTAAAATTATTGTAATTGACCCTCGCAGCCAAAAATAATTTTTCCGGAGCGATTTGAAATTTTTCAATTTTGTCGAAAAATTTGTCCACCTTTCTGAATTTTTTTCTCGAAAGTACGAAGCAATTCGGAGATATGTCTGTTGACCAAAAATGCTTGTAATTGACCGCTGCAACTGAAAATAATTTTTTTAGAACGATTTGAAATGTTTCAATTTTGTCGAATTTATCCATTTATTGAATTTTTTTCTCGAAACTGGTTAGGATTACGAGGGTATGTCTATTGACCACAAATGCTTGTAATTGGCCACAGCAACTGAAAATAATTTTTTTAGAACGATTTGAAATGTTTCAATTTTGTCGAATTTATCCACTTATTGAATTTTTTTCTCGAAACTGGTTAGGATTTCGAAGGTATGTCTATTGACCACAAATGCTTGTAATTGGCCGCAGCAACTGAAAATAATTTTTTTAGAACGATTTGAAATGTTTCAATTTTGTCGAATTTATCCATTTATTGAATTTTTTTCTCGAAACTGGTTAGGATTACGAGGGTATGTCTATTGACCAAAAATGCTTGTAATTGACCTCTGCAACCGAAAATAATTTTTTCGTGAACGATTTGAAATTTTTTAATTTAATTTTGTTAATAACTTTTTAACGAAGCCTCAATCAACAAATTAATATTCTTGATTTTCGTCTTATTTTGGCTTCTAGAATGTCCCATTCAAATTTTTAATTCGTAAAATTCGTAAATTTGTAATATTTCACTGGATCAGCAAAAAGTCGAATTAATCTAATTATAAATAAAAATGTTAAGTGGGACGTCGTTCGGTCCTGCACAGCGACAGAACCCGGAAGTCTCAACCAGTGTCAACAGTCCAATTGACTTAATAATTTAACCTGTCAAAAACTTGCGCACACAATTACTAAATTGTGCAAACTCGACTGTGTTTATATTGATGGTATTGTGCAATTTACAAACGGAGACGAACACTAATCCCTCTCCCCTCGTGACACCCTGCAACAGTTTTCACCACGTACACGTAGGTACAATACCACCACTGACGTCACAGCGAATCGGATCGTTCGTCGAGACCCGTTCCACCAATCGGAAATCGAGTGCATCTACGCGTTTGTGGTAGTACGGGCAAATTTTCTCGAAAGTATACTGGTATTTTCTTTTTTCATTAGTATTTGTGTTTGTTTTGCGCAATTCTTGGTGGGCAAGCAACTAGGCACAGACAAAAGTATAACAATCGATAAAAAACTCCATCAAAATTATTAATGACAGCGAGTAAACACCTAATTCCAAAAAAAAACAAAAAAAATTACAAAACTTATTTATTTTCGATGCTATTATACATATGTATACTATGAAAACGCGTGACTTTCGTTATTTCTTTTCGTCGGACCGTACGAATTCGCCCAACGAGCTCAAATTAATCGTTTAGCGCATAACGAAAATTAGAGGAAACAGTTTGCTGAACTAGTCGCGCGAGTAATTATTCCAAGCGGTGAAACGTGTATGCAAAACAGAATATGTAACTGCTTCGTTTGATATTGCGAGACGAGGATAGGTGGTAAATGAAAGTAAAGCCCCAAGGAGAGACAAATATAATTTTGTTTGGCTCGAGAAATCAAATGAAAGGATATGCACGTGAAATCGTTCCTGTCTATGTGTGGATACGTGGGATCATCATCCCACTTCTGAGGAAACTTAATCTACTGATAACGCGTTGATGACGAGCGACTTGATGGTGGTAGTGTAACATTAAGAAGCCGTTGTTGTACATTGATACAGGTGTAAAAAAACTACGTATCTATTTGGTAAACCAAAATCCGTATCGAAGCATCCAAACAATTTTCCGGAATTTCTTGGCGTATATAAATCTGGAAACGGTTTTGTCAAGGCAGTGTGTATTCCACGGAGCAACGAGTACGGACGAATTAAAGATGGCGAAGGCCATTATCGTTCTTTGTTTTTTGGTTGTCGCTGCATGCGTAAGTGATCATTAAAAAACTCAATTAATTTTACATTTCGTCCTAATATATTTTTAAATTTTCTTAAACAGATAAGACTCAAGTATCGAATTATATTATCGCGCTCAAAATATCGCTCTAACTCTCGATCCTCTTCGAGGCAATTTTTTGTTAATTTTGTATTTCCAAGTAGAAGAAAGTGTATTCAAATTTAAGAGTTTCCACAACTTTGGAAACATACTGTGAACGAGTTTAGAATCTAGAATAATTTGTAACGTCACTGCAATGCGATCTGTGTTAGAATTAAGTCTCTTTGTAGATACTTTATCAAAATTTTTCAAATCTTTCTACGTTTAAATTAACAAGTGTCAAAGTGATCAAAATATTATAAAAATGGTTTACATTCGGTTTAACGATAATTAATAATTTAAAAGTACAGTCACGGTTATAAGAAATCGAATCGAGGCCTATTAAAAAGAAAATTAACTGAGACGAATAATGTCACATCGCTTCAATACTATTTTAATCGAAGATTATATAAACGAAATGGTGTTTACGTGAATATATTAATTGTGACATTTATTGTATATGTTGTGAACACTGTCATGGTGGTCACCGGTGACCGGTATTTTAAACTTGCCGAAGATTAATGATGTGTGGCGAGTAATAATGTGCTTCCGTGTTCAACGCGAGTGTTTCTGTAAAAAAATTAAATTGTGGCGGAAAGTACAGTTTCCAAGTGACAAACAGATAAAATATATTATCAGCAAACAACGAGCAGGCATACGTGTAACAATGTTAATTTTACTAAAATCTCGACCAAGATTATAGTATTTGAAATGAGTAATCGCCATATAATATAGCT